GAAAGAAAGAAAGAAAGAAAGAAAGAAAGAAAGAAAGAAAGAAAGAAAGAACCTCTCAGATAGCCACAGGCAACTGCCATTGTGCCATTGTCAGCCTCATTCCCAGGAGCTTATGTTGAGGAAGAACGTTCTGTCTGGTGAGGTGACCATGAGACCCTCAGTAGGTTCTGGATTCATCTGTGCACAGGGCTTTGGGTGGAGCAGGGATGGTGTTGAGCACCATCGGTAAGATATTCCCACCCTGGAGTCACAGCAACTTTCTCCAGAAAGCCCTCTATCCTCTCCTCACTTGGCCTCCTGGATAACCCCAGCTCTGGGCAGTCACCCACTTGGTTTGGCTGCTAAGGCCACTTTACTACCTCAGTATTTAAATTCACTAAGATTCTCAGTACCACCCGGGTCTGCTTCACTCTGTGGGTCATCTGCAAACAGGCCTGGAAGCATTGGCTAGTGACCCCGGAAGCTAACAAGAGCCGTGGCACATTCCCTTCCGCCTCGCTCCCTCTTTGCAGTGAGGCAGGTAAGCACAGCAAAGAGCTTAGTAAGATGAGACTCCACTTGGCCTGTGCACACAAACCGTGCGCACATCCCAACCACCCTTCAAACAATGCACTCAGCAACTTGTTAGAAACCCAGGACCCCACCTTCACTGAGCTGCACGTACATCTCTTTGCAGACAATGGAGTTCAGTTCCTTCTCCCCTTAATAACCACCAGAGAGAGTTTCTACTTGGTCATACTCCAGCTATATCTAAGTATGAGGGTAGGGAGGCGATCTGGCCTGAGCTAGATTGGGACACATGATGAATAAGGCAAACTGTCCTGGAAGTGAACTCTTAGGGAGAACTCTGCATGACCTTTCCTTGCTATTTTGCAATCCCTGGGTACCTTTATTACAATGTTTTTAATAAGAAGACAAAAACCTAGAAAACCTAGTCTGGACATGCCTGCCAGCATTGCGATACCAGTACATTCCAGGGCTATATCATGGGGTCATTTTTTTTTTTTCTGTCTCCTAGCTAAACTGAATGCTCCTAAGCTACATTGCCTTTCTGTCCTGCTCAGCATGGTGTTTCCTCACCTGGGTACACCATCACTCACTGAGCACTTGTCACTCAAATTGTCTTTGAGAAAACATGAGACAGTCCTACTCTGTCTCCTCTGGGAAGTTCATAATTTCTGAATTTGCACTTTTCTCCACTTCTGATGCTCTACCTAGCCACCACAATCATCTCCTCCTCCTCTTCCTCCTTGTATCTAGTTAAACTTCTCTAAAAGCTGATCTAGTTCTAAAGACTCTCAGTTTCAGGCAATTACTTTTTTTCCTATGGTGAAACAATTACCCTTTGTTACATAAGTACGGAATTTTGTTGTTAGTGAATGTTTCTACAGTTTAAAAAAAATGTGGTTGATTGGTTTGGGGTCTTTTGAGACAGAGTTTCACAGTCTTGCACAGACATGCACAATGAATGACACGTGATTCCACAGTTTTCCATGGATGATTGACCAACTCATCAGAGCTATTCTGTTTCTAGAACTTGGTACAAGGCAGAAATCTGATGCAGAGGCCATGAAGAAGTTATGCTCACTGGCTTGCTTTTCTTATACAACCCAGGCCTGTCTGCCCAGAAGTGAGACTGCTCACATTAGGCTGAGCTTTCTCATGTCAATCATCAGTCAGGAAAATGCCAGTCCAGCCTGATGGAGGTAATTTCTCAACTGAGGTCCCTCTTCCCAGGTGTGTCTTGTTTGTGTCAAATTGGCAAATACTGACCAGCACAGCTATCTTAATAGTTTCATTCATTCATTCATTCATTCATTCATTCATTCATTCATTCATTCATTTATGTGGCAGGGTCTTATGATGCACCTTGTGCTGGCCTGGAGGCCTCTAAGCAGACTAGGCTAGTCTGCTTAGGAACTAGGAACTTAGGAACATGGAGATCCACTTGTTTCTGCCTATTCAGTATTAGGAATAAAGGTGTAGGCCACCACAACCAGCTTTTTAATTCTTATTGACTCTACACTATTATATATTTTAAAGCAAAAGAGTGGTGATTGCATTGTACCTTTGACTCTTGGTGGGAGCATGATATCCCAAACTGCCCAAAAGGTTTCAAGACCATAGAGATTTTTCTATTGTTCCTTCTCTTAAATCAATCAAAACAGATCTGCCAATCACCTGGATAGAAAGAAAGCACCCCAAAAAGTCCGAACTTCAAGAAACATGTTTCCTTCTGAGTCTGTTTTTAAAAATAATTTATCAAGCTGGCCAGTGGTTACCTTTAATCCCAGCACTGGGGAGGCAGAAACAGGCAGCTCTCTGTGAGTACAAGGCGAGGCTGGTCTACAGAGTGAGTTCTAGGAAGGCCAGGGCTACACAGAGAAACTCTGTCTCAAAAACCAAAACCAACCAAACAAAAGAATTCACTTATTTAATATCCTACAAAAGGGTCCCCATGTTTCCTGGCAACACTTCCCATGGCCTCCGCTGGCCCTAAGTGCTCCATCTCCCAAGGTCACTGCTATTGTCTCACTACAGTCCTTGTTCTCTCTGGTCTAGACACTGGCTTTTTAACCAACCCCATTCTCTTCTCCAAACCATCCATCGTATTGCTGCCAGAGCCAACTTTCTGAACTGCAGGGCCGACAGTGCCACTCTCCACTTGAAGGCCCCACAGAGGCACGAACCGCACCCATAGCCTTGACAGACCCCACAAAGTTCTTCGAGTACTGCTCTCATCTCTTTCAGTCTCACTCCCAGCACTGTTCCCCCCCCCACCCCCCCCAGCCCTGTACCATGTGAAAGGAAGTACAGTTGGCTCTGCCACTTAGGACCAGGGATGTGGAAATCATAGCATTCTCTGGAAGGGCAATGAATGAATCAAATGAAAGTGCTAACTAAAGCACAGCAGCATGCTGCGTGCCTTGCTGCGAGGCACTTGCTGCGTGCCTCGGTGAGGAAATGAGGAAAAACAGATTTAAAAAAAAACAGCTGGGCTGTGGTCAAGTGAAAGGACTTGTAGGTCATACCATCTGTGGCTTTACGTCTGGTGACAGATGAATGACAACAGGTACACACACAGATCCTGCAGAACCTGGAAGTTCCCTGTTGTGACTTTACCACTTTATAAACCTTAATAATCTTCCTGGAAGGGATGCCCAGAGAAGCCCAGTCTGACAGAGATGGCCATGTCCCAGCAGGCCTCTCCCCTGCCCTCTGGGTAGTCCTTGGATACACTGTTGGGTGAGTGGATGAACAGGAGAATCACTCAAGTGCCTGTTTTTCACCTCCTACGGTTAACTTTCCCTACAAATTTGCATGTAGAAAATTCCCTTCGCAAATATTTTATATTTCCTCTCCCCCACTTGGGATTTCTCCTGCTGCCTTTTCTCCTCTTGCAGTTAGGAGAGCTTCATAAGTTATCAGCTCTCCCATGAGTATCAGTTACGCCATACCACCACATTCCCAACGCTGCTGGCTTTCGCAGAAGGCGCTACAGGAGTGTGATAAGTGAGTGGGTCTTATT